CCCTTACTGGATGATCTTTCTACTAAAGGTACTTACCTACTAAAATACACATTATTGTCCCTTGGGGCTCAAGCACCTGGTTTTTTTCCTAAAGAGATTAGTCATCCCCTCAATGAAAAGAGCCTTACATCTATTTCTTAGCTCCATGTGTGGTTGTCCTTCCTCCTTTTCTCCTCTATGGCACACTCTATCCAACAACTACTTGATACGGGCAAAGATATACTTGTACTTCTTCAAGTCCTTTTCCTTCTTTGTTTAAATCTTGGAGCCCTTCTTCCACTTTTTTCCCCCAAGGATTACTTAACTCTCTCTGATAACGTGGGGAGTGGAGAGTTGTTCCTTGAGCCCCCTTTATGTTTTCTTCTAGTATTAACTGCCTGGCAGGAACACAAATACTGAACAATTGGTTCAGGTCAGCACAAAATTCTCTGCCTACTTGCTGGTAGAAAAGTCCTTAGTTCTTATGACCAATTTCTTTGTCAAACTGCTGTGGTAAGAAAAAAAAAATTCCAATCGTTCTCTGAACAACTCAGTAAGTGAAACATCACTGAGTTTTTCCCATGCTCTTTTCCTGGCCTACAAAATTTTCTCATTTCAAGCTGGGAAAACAATAGAATTATATCACTAAGAGACTTATTCTGCCTTTATACTAAGATCAAAGGAAACCAATCCCCGATTGGTCAAAACATTTTTTTTGTAATGACATTTACAGCATGACTACTGTTATGAGTTTGCTATAAATATGCATGTGATGTTTAAAGTTCTCTAATAAAATGTACTACTATATGCTGTACCAATCAACTAAAACCTAGCAAATGTTTACTTTACTTACAAAAACATGATTCTTATTATAACATGTATCAAGTTATAAACTCAAAGTTAACAGAATTAGACATTTCCACACTCTCTCGAATTAAATTCACATTTAAGAACTTTTTTATCCAAATGGATAGTACTTTTAGCCAAACTTTTAGAAAAATTTCTTAATACAATTGCTTAAGTCTCTTTTCAAAGCCGCATACCTTAACAATCAAGATTCTCAAACTGTAGTCTAAAGATGCTTGTATGTCACATGAATATTCCAGAAGATCTAATTCTCTTACATTAATAGCAATGGATATAACTGTTTATTATGAATGAAAAAGTTTATAATGATATTCCTTATTGGAGGCTCAACATTCTCATTCATTCTGGGGGAGGATTTTGGTGGATAGTGAGAAATCAGTTTGATGGTCTTTGTTCTAGAGACAAAAAAAGTTTGAGAACTATTATAGTACTAGATATAGTTTTTAATGGTTCCTGAAATATTCTATAGCAGTTTAATGAAAAGAATCCTCTTTTATGACAAATTTCCAGCCAATTTATCAGTAGAGGGCAAAGACTGACAACATTTTCATATTCCAGCACCATGTACCTTACTCAAATGCCAAAACACCACAGAAAAAATGTTTGCAAATACTACTGTGAAAAAGCCCTGCCCTCATCATTCCTCTCCTGTACTATACAATAGCCTCTTACATAGTCTCCCTGCTTCTGTTCTTTCCCCTCTGCAACTTTTCACCCACACAACTGCCAAAATCATCTTCCTAAGGATATAACTGTGTCACTCATCAACAATAAACCTTCAGTGGTTCCCTGCTGCCTCTTAAATAAATATAAAATCCTCAGTACAGCTTTTAAGACTCTGTAAAGTGTGTCCCAAACCTGATTTTATATTATTCTCCTTTATGAAATCTATTTCTAGTGAAGCTGGACTTTCAGCTATTTCCAAAACCTGACATTCCATCTTCTGCCTTCATTAACTTGTAGAATTCATCCATCCTCTTCATGCCTAGAATGCTCTCCCTTCCCATTTCTGCATCTCAGAATTATCTTCTCTCAAGGATCATTTCATCTCATCTCAGAAGTCATATAATCTTTGAGGCCTTGGCCCTAATTCTCTACTCATCTCTACTTGTTAATGTTCTCTTATGAAATGCTACCAATAACAATAATACAAAAAAAAAATTAAAGATGTAAAGACAAGTAAAGAGATTTACTGATACGATAGGAATCAAAGACACTACACTTAGAGAAAATTAACCCAGCAAAGTTTCAGGCTACAAAATAAATACTTAAAAAAATCAACCATATTTCCATATAATAACAACAAGATTTAAGAGGAAATAACAGAAAGGAAAATCCTATTCCAAATACCACAAACTGCATAAAGTATCTGACAATCAGTCTACCCAAGCCCACAAAAGACTTGTATAGATTCAATTACAAAGTGCTCCTTCAAGAAATTAAAAAAAAAAAAAAAGTACAGCTAGGTGGCGCAGCGGATAGAGCACTGGCCCTGAACTCAGGAGGACCTGAGTTCAAATCTGTCCTCAAAGGCACATAACACTCACTAGCTGTGTGACTCTGGGCAAGTCACTTAACCCCAATTGCTTTATAAAAAAAAACCAAACAAACAAAAGACCAAAAAAAAAACTTACATAGCTGAAAGAATACTTAGTACTCATAGCTGGATCATGCCATTATAATTAAAATGACAGCATTACCAAAGTTAGTTTGTACTTTAATGCTATGCCAAACTGTCAAAGAGATAATATCGAGAACTTGATGAAATGATGACAAAGTTTATTTGGAAAATCAAGAGCAACAATGAAGGGAGGTAAGAAGAAAGGCAAAAGAACACTTCCATACTTGAAGCTCTATTGTGGAGCAGTAGTCATCAAAACCCACTGGTATTGGCTGAGAAGTGGAGAGGTGGGCCAATGGAGCAGACCAGACAAGGAAGAGTCAAGAGCAATGGAGCTCAGGAGCCCAATGTTCAGTAAAGCAGAGGGCTTAGGAGGGAACTCTGTCTGATGAAGACTGCTGGGAAAACTAGAAAGCAGCCCGACAGAAATCGGGCTTAGACCAACACCTTATACTATTCTCCACATACACTAGAAATGAATACATGACCTTGGTATTGAGGATCACACTATAAAGGAAATGAGAGAAAAGCAGATCATAAACCTCTCACAGCTACCAGTAGGAGATATATTCTTAAGCAAATAAGGGACAGAAGCAATTACAAAAGATAAAATAGGTAACTTTGAAACCGAAAAGCTTCTGCAAAGACAAATTAATGCAACTAGGATTAAGAAGAGGAGCAGTCAAATGGGGAAAAATCTTTGTATCAAATTTCTCTGATAAGGGTTTGGAATCCAAGATAATAAATAAATGGATAAGTAAAACCAAAAGCCACTCTCTAACAGATAAGTAGTCAAAGGGTATGAACAAAGAGTTCTCAAATGAAAAAATGCAAACTGTTAACAACCACATGAAAGAATACTCCAAATTAGTGGTATCAAACTCAAACAGAAGGAGGGCCACTAAGCCATACATACAAATACCTGCAAGCTGCATACTGACTTAAAAAAAAACCAAACAGAATATTATCTATGTTTTGATGTGTTTTTATTTAATGTGTTAAGTATTTCCAATTATATCTTAATCTAGTTTGGGTGTATTCAGGAGTATTATGGGCTACATATCTGACACCTCTGCTCCAAATCACAAATAAGAGAAATGCAAATCAAAACAACCCTGAGGTTTCACCTCACACTCTGCAAATTGGCAAAGAGGACAAAGAGAATAATAATCAATTCTGGAAGGGTTGTGGGAAGAAAGGCATACTGGTGTACTGCTGGTAGAGCTGTGAATGAGAACCACCATTTTGGAAAGCAATCTGGAACTATAAAAATAAAGTCTAAAATATCCATAGTCTTTACCCTGAGATTCCATTCCTGGGATCATAGAGGCCACCGATAACGGAAAAGTCCTCAAATACACCAAAATAGAAGCACTTTTTGTGCCAGCAAAGAATTGGAAAAAAGTGGATGTTAAACAAACTGTGGTACATATATGTAATAGGAATATTACTGTGATGTAAGAAATTATGAACATGATGAATATAGAGAAGCACAGAGGATGTTGACATGAACTGATGAGGACTGAGATGAATTGATGCAAACTGAAGTAAACAGAGCTAAGAAAACAATATATACAATGGCTACAACAATGTAAACGTGCACAAAATCAAAAATGAACATTGCAAAAATATAAAGAACGAGTACGGCTCAAAAGAAGAGATATAAGAAGACACTCTCAACTCACACCTTTACAGAAAGGAGAGGCCCACCAGTGTCGCACACTGCACGTGCTTTCAGACCTGTGCACTGTATCAACCAGCCATCCTGACTCTTTCCTTTTTTTTCTGGTCTTTAAAAAATTACTATTCGTTATATGGAATGGCTCTCCTGGAAGAGGACTGAAAGAATGAGTGAAATGGGGAAAACTATGGTGATATGAAAAACATCAGTAAATACTTATTTAAAAAAAAAGAAAAGAAAAACCAGCAAAGATCAAGTTGGAAAATATATTCACTTTTCCAGTTTTATATAAAAAATGACTCTTAGGATGAGGGGGAATAGATATATTAGGAAATGAAGGTGACATAAAAACAAATTAATTTTTAAAATAAAACATTTTAAAAGATTTTAAAAATTATCTTCATTATTAAGTTACCTTGTATTTAATTGTTTGTTTATATGCTGTACCTCACAACAGAATGTAAATTCCTTACTGACAGGGACTACGTTTGACTTTGTATCCCAAATGCAAAACAAAATACCTTACGTAGAGTAAGCACTTTAATAAATGTGTGAACTGTTTAATTGAATAGGTCTCCCAACAACTGCCTAGAATCATAGGAACTCTACAATGAGAAGATCCCTTTAATAAGGTCAATACCAGACTAGCAAGAACTTTTTATATTACCAAAGGGACTTATAATGTGAAACTAACTAGATTTATAGTTCAACAGCTGCTCTAATCCATAATCATAGCAGAGAGCAGAATTACTGAAAAATATGAACACGTGGTTGCACTTAAATCAGTAATTTTTTTGATTTTGAGACCAGAGGGAGAAAAAAAAAAAAAAACAACCCTGAAGAAATCTGTACCTTCCGGGCTTGTTCTTCAGCTCTTTCTTTTTTTATTTTTTCTAGTTCTGCCAGTAAAGCTGCGGTGTCATCATCATCACTTTCTTCTTCAAAATCTTCATCTTCATCATCTTCCTAGAAAGAATACATATAATTTAAGAAAATAGGAATGAAAACTAGAACAAGGGTTTGATCCCTCCCACCCCATATAACTGATCTACTATTCATCACATCAGTGAGAAGTCTTAATTTTATTAGATAGAGAAGATATACAGACTAAATGTCTGAGCAATAAGACACACCCTCAAAATTACTGAGGAGATTCTCAAAACATTAATGGTTGTAATGACAGCAATAGTATTCTAACATTAGAAAAAAATATTAATTTCCTATATGGCAAAAGGCACCAAACAGATGAAAACATTCTTAGCCCAACTACTACAACTCGGTTGATACAACTAAAGTCAGAAAAATAAGAGAGGCAAAACCCAAAGCAAAATAAGAATGAATAAGTCCAAGAAGAACCAAAGTAATTTTAAGTAGCTCAAATAGCCCTAAGCTAGGAATTATATAGGCCAAGTATAATCAAAATCCAAAAAAGGGCTGCTGAATTCTCAGAAGCAAGGCAAGAGAGTTTATGATTTCAAACAAACAATCTTTAAACACTTGAATAAAATTGCTCCACATGCTTTTAATCACTGCTGGTAACTCAATCTTAGCTAACTTGAATGAATGCTGAAATATGCTCTCTATTCCAGACTATCCTTGACAGGCCACCCAGAAGACTTTTCTTCCATGTCCTATGGACAACTATTTAAATCGTAAAGCAAACTAATTATAATATTGCGTGCATGCGCAGCATTAGATTCCAATTTAATTTTTTAAGTAATTCAAGGGCAAATTAAAAAAAAAAAAGCCAAAAAACAAAAACCTTAGGCCTAGCTTCCCAGAAGACTATCAGGTACTTCTGTAATCAGAATTCAAGACACTAGACAGAGTATTCCACAGATCCCAGGTTTAACTTGAGGAGTTTGAAAGAGTGAGGTTTTCAGTGATGCATGCTAGGTTGTGGAACCTTCTTTTGTGTTTCATCAGGGATCATAAGTGCTAACCTTCAAATTTTGTTTATGTATAGACTAAGTTGAAGAAAGGTTACATCAAACTGAATTTTTCTCCTATGCCTCTTAGAAAGGAAAGAAGATTATCATTTAAAAAAAATAAATTATAACCTTTAAAGATTCTTTTAGTCCCAAGACTCAAAAGATGGTTTTCATTTCAAAATGCCCTAAACAGTTGGTAATGATTTCAGGGCTAAATGTTTGAAAAACAAGAAATGAAAATATGTACATATTCTTTTCAGACAAATGAATAGAAATAAGTATTCCTAGAAAATGTAGGACTAGAAATGTTTCTGAACACCAAAAGGAAGTCAAAGAGAATACACACATCTGTTAGGGGATCATCTGCATCAAGGTTGGCTGCAGGAATCTGATCTAATCGAGGTTTCTTCGACACAGAAGATGAGGTTGTGTGCTCTGCGGGAAGAAAATCACAAAGATCATTAAAACAAGAATGGAAAGAAACAGCTCATTCTGTTCTAACTGAAAGCTAAAACAAGTTAGTCAATTTGATGACTTCCAGAGATTCTGTGCTCTGGATACAAACTGCCTACACAAGTCATTCTTTCAACAAATATTTATTAAGTCCTTATTATTTTCAATTAATGACACTACACATTGGGGGAGATACCGAAATAAGATAATCCCATCTATCAAGAGTTTACAATTTAGGAGGGATGCTAAAATGTAAATACATAAGAAAAGTACAAAATACAGATTAATATTCTATGAAGACATAGAGATCACTACCTGATTTTTTTTTTTTGTGAGGGTGAGGGGAAGGGAAGGAGAGAGGAAGGTGGGAGATCAGGAAGATGACTAGGTATCTTTAGGCTCAAAGATGTCTATTATGGTAAATAATCTTGATAACAAAGTCACCGGAAGCATGAGATAAAGTGAATAAACACTATCATGGCTATTACTTCTGAAGAACTTCCAACATCCAACAGTTACAGATAGTAACCTCTCCCCTACCCCATGGTTCCTAGAGGCTCCCAGCAACCCTCATTAACTGCTAAAATGATGGTTGCAAGGAATTCACAGATTCCATTGGGATGGACTTAGGGTTAGGAGGTACTTGTAGAGGTCACCTATCCAATATTCTTTACTAAAAGAAATTCGTCCTTACAATGAAGATAAAAAGTGGGGTTTACTTTATATTCTCCCATTATATCCCACACACAAGTCTCAAGGTAATTTACAATTAACAAACTAGTCAGAATAAAGATGAAATTTAACTTACAAAGTTTCAGAAAATTAAGATAACACTTAGTGTTAATGAACTATAACAATTCCTAATTACTTTATATAAGATAATTTAATTGCTAAATCTAATAGCTTTTTCAGTCCTCAATCTCTCTCTCTGCAGTTTTTGACACTTAACCACTCCTTTTTAAAATTCAGGTTACATTTTTTGAGTTCCAAGTTGTCTCCCTCCTCCTCCCAACTGTGCATTAGGGAAGGCCAACATTTGATATAGATATATCTGCGCAACCATATAATACATACTTCCATATAGTGGTTCTTTTTCTGGAAATGGATAGCATTTTCCTTCATAAGTCCTTCCTCCATAAGACCATCCTTTGAATGGACATATTACTTGGAGTAGCTTAGTCATTCGAACCATATTACTGTTACTGTTTACAATGTCCTCTTGGTTTTGTTAGTTTCACTCTGCATTATTTCATGCAACTCTTCCCATGTTTTTCTAAAACCAACCTACTCATCATTTCTTACAGCACAATAGTATTCCATCATAGTCATGTACCACAACTTATTCAGCCATTCCCCAACTGATGGGGCATCACCTCAATTTCTAATTCTTTGCCACCACAAAGAGAGATGCTATAAAAGTTTTAGAACACATAGGTTCTTTTCCTTTTTCCCTCATCACCTTGGGACACAAAGCTAATAATGGTATTGCTGGGTCAAAGGGTGTACACAGTTTTATACTCTTTCGGCCTAATTCCAAATTGCTCTCCAAAGTGGATGGATCGGTTTACCATTTCACCAACAGTGTATTAGTGTCCCAGTTTTTCCACATCCCCTCCAGCATCTGTCATTTTCCACTTCCCTCATTTTTAGCCAATCTGACTGGTGTGAGATGATACCTCAGAGTTGTTTTAATTTGCATTTCTCTAATAGCTTTTTCACAGTCCTCATCCTATCTCTCTGCAGTTTTTGACACTTAACCACTCGTTTCTGGATGCACCCTCCTCCCTTAGCTTCAATGGTATTACTCCTTCTCCACCTACCTGTCGAACTACTCTTCACCTCCTTTGCTGGTTCATTATTCATCTCCCACTCCTTAAACCTGGATTTCCCACAAAGCTTTATCTTGGGCCCTCTTTCTCTTTATACTCTTATTCATCTTATCTGTTCCCATGGATTCAATAATCATTTTGAGGTCCACGACTCCCAAATCTATATGCCTAACCCTAATTTTGTTCTAAACTTGAGTCCCACATTACTTACTGCCTGCTGGATATATATCTCTGCTTGTAAGTTCTATTCAAAACTAAAATTCAACATGTTCAAAACCAAACTCATCATCTTCCCTCTAACCCCAATCTACTCCTCCTCCAAAACTTTCCCTTTTTTGTTGAGGGTACTACTATCCTCCTAAGTTTGTCACCATCTTTAACATTTCCCTCCCACCTCCTGAAGCTCCATGTCCAACTGATAATTCCTTTCAATTCTACCTCCAAAAACACTTCTATCATTCAACGTCTATTCTCCATGTACACAGCCACCAATCGTCTCCTCTCCTCTAGACTATTTTTTAAAGCCTCCAAAATTATTTCTCTACTTCTAGCTTCTCTCCAATCCATCCTCAACACAGCTGCCTAAATAATCATCCTAAGGCACAAATCTGAATATGTCATTACTATGTTCAAAAATCTTCACTGGCTTCCTTTTGCCTTAGCCTGGAATTTACAGGCCTCCAAATTCTGCCTCTGACCTACTTTCCTAGAGTTATTTCCCATTATTCCCATTCACATGCTTTATGTTCCCACCATAGGGCATTATTAGCTATTCAGTCAGTCAGCCAATAAACATTTATTAAGCATCTATTTTGTGCCAGGCACTGTGCTAAGCATTGAGGATACAAAAAGAAGCAAGAGAGCCCCTGACCTCAAGGAGCTTACAATCTAATGGAAAATTATCTCATCTGATCCTAACAACCCTGGGAAGTAGGCACTATTATATCCCCATTTTATAGTTAAAGAAACTGAGGAAGACAGAGGTTAAGTGACCTGTACAAGGTTAGACACGTACTAAGTGTCTGTGGCCACATTTGAACTCAGGTCTTCCTGACTTCTGGCCCAACATTCTGGTATTCACTGTGCCACCTAGCTGCTTCTATTCTCAAATTCACTGTTCCATCTCCTGCTTCTGAATTTGCTCAGCTGCATCACCCATGCCCAGTGTGCTGTCTCTCTACACTGCCCCCTTTCAAATCCTTCAAGGTTCAGCTTTGGTGCCAGCTCAACAGGGAAGCCTTTCCAGACCTTTCCAGTCATTAGTGTTTTCTTTGCTTCTTCAAATTACCTTGAATTTATTCCAGTACAGACTGCATTCCCCAGCAGAAGAGATATTCCTTGAGGGGATAGTCATTTTTGTCGTTGTTTCCTATACCAATTATCTAACAGTGCCTTATGCACAGCAGGCTCTGAATGAATGTTCGCCAAACTGTCTGACATGCTCAGATATGTCAAGGCTGTTGAAGTAACCTGAATAAAAATGCTTCATACCACATGTTTTTTTTTTTAAACAGACAAATATCTTATAATAGTTTATAAGTATCCAAAATAATTCAGGTACCTCTAGTTGGACGATCTCTGTTTTTTTCTCTTGCAGCAACTCTCTCTCTCTCTTCTAGTTCTCGCCTGAAATCACGGTTGCGAACCTCTTCAGGAGCATCCTGAGTAGTTTGTCTAACACAGAAATAAAATGAAAACATGAAGACTTAAAAAAAAAATTAGAGCTTGTTTACAAACCAACCAATGAAACAGTTTTGAATCTAAGACAACTTGAGAAGAATGTCTTATTTGGTAATGCATGGCTTTTTCCCTGATGGAGAGCCACTGAGGAAAATAAATCAAAGGTGTAGACTGAAATGAGCAGAACCAGAACACTTTACACAATAACTATAATACTGTAAAGAAAAACACTTTGAAAGACTTAAGAAATCTGATCAATGCAATGACCAATCACTGTTGGGGAGGATCAGTGATGAAGTAAGCTGCCTACAAACCGAGGGAGAGTTAGACAATTTAGGGGAAAACAGAGATACTAATTTCTAGCCATGGCAATGTGTGATTTGTTTTGCTTGACTATACTTATTTGTTATAAAGTAGGATTTTTTGTTTTTTAGTTTGTAAAGAAAAAGAGGATGATGAAGAAAAAGGTCATTGTAGCATTTTTAAAAATGCACAGAAGAGAACAGGAGGTTCAGAATGAGACAGATAAACAGGATAAATTTAAAATGAATATGTTGAATTTATTCTATTCTTTTTCAAATGTAAGCTTTACATAATAGATTGTGGCTTTGTTTAAAATCTTTCCTATGTATATGGAAATGCTCAACACATAGATTAAACTGGAAGGAGAAAAAAAAACCAGACTATATCTGCTAATATTTTTATAGCAAGCTATTTTCATTAGAAATAAACAAAAAATGGGGAATTGGACTCCTCTACCCCAGAACCCAATATATTAATTGAGGAAGCAGCATTAGTAATTAGGATGTCAAGAAGAATAGCTTAACTTGACCAAATACATAAAGAAGAAATCTATAAAGAGGCAAAATAATTTCAAAGGTACTCAGGACTGATGATATAGTTCAAGATCTCAAAGAGCAAAGATTTTAAAAAATGGGAGAGATCATAGGCAATATTATTTCCCCAGTGAAAAGGCTTGTCAAAAAGACATTAGCAACTCCTGACTACGATGCTTAATTTCTCATGTCTATAAAATCTTTTTGAGAATGGTCTATTCATTGAGTTTATTTTTGATGAAATATGAAATGGTTTAAGCACTACTGAAGGGTAATATTTGTAGATTCTTTTCTACAGGAGATTACAGCCACACACACCAAGAGATGTTGAGACCCTAAAATCTGTATGTATTACAAAAAGGGTGTTTGACTCTGTAGAATACAATGTAGCCTTAAAGGTTTGCCTCACATAGTATGTTTCCTACAAATAAGATCATATAAAATTAAATCATGCTCATTTAATTCATCAGAATTCATCGGCAAAGCATTAAAAAAAAAGGGAGACATAACGTTCACCAAAGATGTTTGCCAGTGTCATGGAAGATTTCTGGTGGCACTGACTTGGACTGCTATCATAAATCCCTCTACTTGCTCAATGAAACCACATCTGTTTAACATTTAACATTTCTTTGTCAATATATTGTTGGTTAAGCCAGAATCCATGTGCCTGTCTCCTATGACATTCTTCTGATTCTCTTCTTGGATCTTAGCCATTTCAAACAATCGTTCTAAAAGTTATCTGCTTTCTGTTATACTGAACAAAACTAACGGTATTGACAATATTGCCCAGTGAAGTAATGTCTGCTTGTTCTAAAAATATTTCTGTAGATTTTAGACTTGATTATTATTTGCTTTAAGAATGTCTATCAATCTCTGTCCTTCTTGAAGAGGTAGTATAAATCTCTTTCTATAGCTACTTTACAGTGATAGGTCCTATGTTTCATTAATAGTGTAGAGGATGTGTTGGGATACTTTCCAAATCTGTTACGACCATTTCAAAGTTCCAAAAGTATACATTAAAACTGGCACTGAGTAGGTATTAATTGCTCTCAATGTATTATTCTCATTCAACTTTAATTTCAGGATTCCAGTAAGTCTCAACATGGTCACATCCGTTTCCATGATTATCTTTATGCTCAACACATCTTGCTTTAAGAACACCAACTCATTTGTAGGTATCGTCTTTATTCTTTAACCTCTGATTTCAAGTTTAAAAGCTTAAGTCTATCTTTCCTCGGCATACATTAAGAATTTTATGCTCATTATAGCTAAATGACTCTTATTATCTCATTAATCTCATCTTTTTTATGGAGTTTAGCTAGTAATGATTATTTTTTATTTTGGCTTGTAGAAAAGGGTAAAGCGAGTAATATGAGATGAGGAGTGAATATATTTGAATGCCTGAAACTCAAATTACGAGCCAGGGTATTAGCAAAGACTCACGTTATTGGTAAAAGAGACTCATAAGTGTGCTTAAAAACCCATTACAATACTTCAAGGTCTAAATGCATGTGTGAGGTATTCAGGATACCTGGAGTCTGATTTCTGATAAGAAGTAAAATGATGAAAACAATGTTTAAAATAAAAAAAAGGTTCTTGCTGCTATCAATAGAATGGACCAAATGTAAGGAAGCTAATTAAATACACTTGAATCATAGTAGGTACAGTGTAAAGTCAGGCCATATTTAGCAGGAAAGAAAAACTGAAATCTAAATTAGATGTTGGGGCCATAAAAAATACAATCTCACGATACAGAAGAGTTTTATGATCATATAGTAAATCCTCCAAAGTAAACTGATGCTCTACTAAATAGAAATTTCTATTATGTTTGTGCTTTGACAATAGTAATTGTGTACATGTGAACACAACACAGAAAAAAAATCTTCATTATACATTAAAGAATGAAATTTATGTTAAATACAGTTTTAATGTTTCTATTTTACTGCTAATTCTTGGATAACTGTAATAAGCATGTATAGCAATACCCTATTAACCAGAAGAATTCATTACATAACCATACAAAATTTTTTTCTGACTTATAAGAAAAAAACTCTCTAAGACAAGAAAAACTTAGATCATTATTACCTGTATTTAATTTTTGTGTGAGAAGGTAGATCTCTACTTGAATATTGCTTGGAAAGCTGACTCAAATCACCTTCACCCTTTCCTCTTCCACCTCTTGCAGGTTCAAACGTAGGCCTTGCCGCTGTTGTCATCTTCAACGCTTCAAAGATATACATTTATATTCAGTCATATATGCATACTTAAGATGATTATTAGTTTCAAAAGTAGAGCTAAAATTCTACGCAACGGTGCTTCCAAAATTCATTTAACTGAATTTATCATCACTATCCCCTTTTTCAATAACTTTCTTTTTCTATTTGTACCTTTATCTAAAGACCATACAAACATCACAACAGCACATACATTGAGAACACACTCCCCCAAAACAATGACCTACCACAGCAAACTGAAAGTCCTAGAAAGGTGAGAAAATGATCATTTTTAGGACCACTGCCTGATTCTCACCAAACCTTGGCAAATAGGATTGTGCTTATTATCTTCATCAGATTTAGGGATGGAAAGGACTTGAGAGGTCATTTAGGCTACTCTCCTCAGGAAGAGATAAGGAAAGAGAAGCCTGAAGAGCTTAAGTGAATTTCTTAATAACACAGTGGTACAGCCAGGACCTGAGCTCATATCCTCTAATTCCAAAGTCAGTACTCTTACCAAGAAACTGTGAGTGGTTAAAGGCAAAATCCACTCACAAAACTATCTTACGAGCCTCAAACGAGCAAGGGAAAACTGAAAGAAACAAAGGTATACAAGTTCATTCGTCTCCAGCTTCAAGTTGGCCAAAAATGTTTGCTCTGGGCTAAACCTGACAGTTCAGGTAAACAGGCAAAATTCTCATCCTTAATATTCATATCCCTCAATTCAATTTTCTGGACTAAAAGTTACCATAATATACTTCTTGTCGCTGTCTTGCTGTTGCTACTAAAATATGGGGTTCAATACTATTGGGGGGTGGGGGAGTGGAAATCTATTTTCCACCAAATTTGAGGGCGCTGAAGTCACTTGTTCCTCCACCTCTGTCAGAAGCTGAGTTTGCCTGCTATTGACATTACCAGATCCTAGCACTCCAGGCATCCAAAGCCTTCCCTCAAGAAGGTTACACTCTAACGCGGGGTGAGGGCGGCACGTCCCCCACCGGAGATCAAAGGAGGGAATGCTCCAGAGGTGGCCGGAGCCCCAGGGCCAAAAGAATGAGCCTTCTGACAGCAAAGGAGAAGCGGCAACAACCAGCAGCCCGAGCCCGGGCCCTACCTTTACACCCGACCCCGCATCCCTGGAACCCGTGCGCCTTGGCTTCTCCTTTCAGTTCCCCTTCAGCCTTTCCCCATCTCCCACCTCCACATCCCCCCAAATAGCCTCTTCCTCTCCGCGAGCCGCAGAGAGAGGACTCCGGCGTCACTTACTTCAGGCGAGTCAGTCCCACAGCCCTGCGATATTACACCAGCACCATTACTCTTCCTTCTTCCCACAGCTCTCCGCGCCGACCCCGAAGAGCATAGAGTTTGAGAACAACTCGACTCTCTTTTACCGGAAAAGAAAAACAAGAGGGCGGAGTGGCGCTTAACGGAAGGCGTCATATAACCAAAGCCACCAGCCAATCGTCGAGGAGAAAGGCCGCCGACGGGGCGGGAATAGAAGCGGAAGTCGCTGGCGCATCCGGGAGACGAAAGCCTGAGCCCGCCTTTTCCGGTCAACCGCAGTTCGGCTCGTGAACGTTCATTTATCCAATATTTCCTTGGTTCTTTCTCCCTCCCAATCTTCTCTCCAAAGGCCTCCCCTCTCCATCTCGCCCCAGTTCTCCTCGCCCCTGCACTGCAGAGTGCCAGACGGATGGAAGCCGTGGCTTGTGCCCGGCGCCGCCCTCGTGTGGCCGCCAGGGGTCGACTGTGAGTCCCTGGTCGCCTGCCCGGAGAGTGACTCCGATCCACCTGCCTAGGCCGCGCGTTTTCTCTCAGTGGAGGTGGAAGGACACATTGTTGGCAAACAAAAGAGCTTCACAGAACCTGAGGAGAGAGCCGTCAAAGGTGTCCCAGGGCAGACGGAAAAGGAGGTGGGCCTTCGTGGCCCTGTCCTGACATTTGTCACTGGTTGACCCGTTGGTACCCCGCTGGTATCCAGGCAACGACGTGCCTCCACATCTGCGTTAGGACCGCCTCCTATTGAGAATTTAAAATCCAGGGACACAGACCCGAGTCAGGCAGGAGGAGAGGGTTTGGAATGGGTTGTGACGATGACTGAAGAGCAGATCCACCCAAGTACTGGGAGGAAAACGTACAGGGGCGGACGTGGTGTGTTTAAGTGTTTTTTAATCCCATTTGTCGCTCTTGTAAATGCCTTACAGCTCGGAGCAGTGATATAATAAAAAGTAGTTTTTAAAAATCAGGTAAGAGGCAGTGTAGTGCGGAGGTGTCCAACACGGGCTGCATGGGTCTTTGTAACTGGGAAATATTTAACAAAATAAGGATAGGGATTTGACAGCTTTGGAGCACTGATTAGCAGGGATAGCTTAATTTGAATAGCTTGTTGACCCAGACGCATTTTATTAAGGGAATAATTAAGGGATTATTTGAGTGAGCCAGCTTGTTATGGATTTGAGCCTATCTCCTTATTGGACCTTTAAAAGGGCAGGTTGGTATTCGAGGCTTCAGTTAGAAAAATCCTGAGGAGACATGAAAGTAGATATCCCTGACATCCGGGGAATTGGCAGGTATCCTGGGGATCACTTCCTACTCCAGCCCCAGAGATGGCAGGCCAGAGACATTATAGCAGTGTTGGGAGGGGTGGGGGAACAATAGTGAAGTGTAGGATCTATAAGAGTTACTAAATTGGGCCTGTAGTCATGAAGACCAGAGTTCGAATCTGGATTCAGACACTTGACTACTTGTGTGATCCTGGGAAAATCATTTGACTTTTATTTGCCTCAGTTTCTTTATCTGCAAAATGGAGATGATAACAGTACTTACTTCTCAGGGTTGTTGTGAAGATCAAATGAGATGATAATTGTAAAGCACTTAGCAAAGTGCCTGGCACATGTAAGTGCTATATAAACTTTTGCTGTCCTTATCATTAAAGTCAAAAAGACAGCTCAAGTCCTACCTCTGGCATATTCTAGCTATATAACCATGGATGAGTTAGACAACTAACCCTCTTAAGTCTGTAAATTAGGAAACGACTGCTTTGGTAGATGGAGTTTCCTCACCTGGAATTCCCTATGCAAATTTGGAGGCTACTCCTCCATAATTATGTGTTTGTAATGATCATAATTTTAAAAGTGGAAGAGAATCTTAGATGTCAGTAAGTCCAACCCCCTCACTTTTTAGATGGGGAAACTGAGGTCCAGAGAGTATAGTGACATACCCATGTCTTCTGACTCCAAATCTAGTGCTCTTCCCCCAGCACCATGCCTCCTGCTGTGTGCCTCTCCATTGCCCTTTGATTAATTCTTAATTTTAGTTCTTTGAAGATTGTAGTGTCACAGCCATATGTCATTACCAGAAGAACATTAGTACTATAAAATATGATCCTTTCTTCCCATTGTGACATTTAAAAAGGTTCAAGAGACATAGTTTCTAGGTAATTTAATAATTTTATTAATAAGGCCAGCAGGTTATTAATAAAAGGATGGTCATTGGTCAATTGACTGTCTCTTAGACCAAAGACAACCATGCCAGCAGGGCTCACAGTTTATATACCTTTCCAGTGAGCGGCTGATGTCACCCATCATCACATCACTCTTTAACAGAGAAAATTATTTCTACTCAGACCACCTGCAGCCTTGGGCTATCTAGACAAAAGGATCTGTCTCCCCCCAAGCTTAAGTAGAACATAATGGGCTTCCCCAATCTAGATTAAATATCTTCCAAGGTTGGGTGGGGGCTGATCAAAATCTAGGAGAGTCAGTGCAATCTCGTTATCAGTAATATCCTTCAAGACAACAACTTTTTAAAATGGGAATTTAGAAAAAGGGGAGAGCCTCTGAATCTCCCTAAGATATTGGTTGTTAATAATTTTTCACACCCCCGGGAAGAAGCTTTGCAGTTTCCCCAAAACAATCCAGCTCATTCTCCTACTCTTCCACTTCAATTCTGGGCTAAAATCATGGTCCATTTATAGTGTCTATGCTATATGTATTTTGATGGACAAAGATTTCTTGATTTACTAGCATATGTAAATAGTAGGTGCTGGTAGGGGTCAGAAAGATGTATAGGCAGGGTCCCTGGTATGTAAATTCTTTTGAAGGCAGGGACCTGTTGAATGTCTAGAACCTAGCACAGTGCTTTGCAGATAGGTGCTACAATAAATGTTTGCTGAATTGTCGCAGTAGAGAAATCACAAAAACTCAGAGCAGCAGGGGGTTTCAAGGTAATCTAATCCAAGTTGTACCTGAAAATGCATATATCAGCAGGTGGTTATTCAGCCTTGGCATGAAGAATCTCCCCAGATGGCAAATCTACCACTTCTGGAGACAGTACATTCCACTTTGGGCAGCTCTGATTTCAAGGAACTCTTTCCGTACATGGAACCAGAGTCAGCCTCTTTGCAACTTCCATTCATATTGTTAGAGCTGCCCTTTGAGGCAAAGCAGCATAAATCAATACTCATCTTTGTACACCATCCTCTCAGTCATCCAGACTTAAAACTTAATTATCTCTAAACCTCTTGCTCCTGCCTCCCCTTTTCTCTCCCCCACTTCCCCAGTAGCATGCTCTTGGAGTCAGGAAACCCGGATCGAAACCTACTTTAGATTTTTTTAAGCCTTTATAACAATTTCCATCTACACATATGAGTAATTCAATAAATGCTTCTCCATGAGTGCATGTCTTTAGAATACTGGGAAGTCCTTTTAATCACCCCAATTTTCAAACAAAAATTCACTTTTGAACATTAGTATTCCTCCAGTGATGTTATATGGCTGTGAGGCATGGAACACTACTAAAATTTCTAAGGTATTTAAGTTGAGGATCATCCCAATGGCAGTGAAGAGATACATGGTGGGTGTGATGGCTGCAATTCATGATAAACAAGGAATTTTACAAGAGAAACAAGTGTAACTTGTCACTGAAGAAATGCATGATTTTAAAAAAAAAAAAGACCAGTAACAGTGAGAACATCACTCACATGTACCCCTGGTACCCTTTTGATGTCTAGAGAAATTGAGTAAGGCCCCCAAGAAAGGACTTGGTTAAGAAATGCACAGGATGAACAAGTGAGAGCTACAGCTGTTTTGAAAAATAATAATGGAAAGGTAGGTTGGAGCCCGATTGTAGAGGGCCTTAAACACTAGGCTAAGGACTTGATATCTCATCTTGGAGGCAATAGGGATCCTCTGGAGAATGATGTGGGAAGATTTGTTGCTTATGAAGATTCTTTTGACAGCTGTGTGAATGATGGTTAAAAGGCAGGGAAACCAGTTAGGAGGATTTTCAAGAAGTAGTCCTGACAGGTGGTATGGAAAGACTAAACTATGGCATATTGGTAGCTATTTTGCAACTTAGACTCATAGCAGTATTTCACATCATTTAAGTACTACCAGTCTTATTTCATGTCACACCTCTTCACATATTCTGTACTCTAGTCCAGTTGGACTGACAGCTGTTCCTTGGTACACAAAATTCTGTCTCCTACCTCTATACCTTCGTACAAATTCATCCCCCATGCCTTTGATACACTTTCCTCATCTCTGCCACGTCAAATCCATAGCTTCTTTCAAAGCACAGGTTATGGGCCCCCCTCCTGATCCTCCAAGCTAACAACACTCCCCTTCCAAGTTACATTACTTTGTATATGCTTTGTATTAATTTGTCTGGGTGCTTTTTGCACCCCCCCCCACCAAATAGAATATGAACTCTTGCAGGACAGAACTCTTTGTAAGGCCAGCACTAGAAGCCAAGATGATACTCATTATACCACTTCTTTTGCACAGTTCCTCACTGGCAACATGCTACAGCTCACAACCACCATGCCCCTCTCCAATGCCCTTTGGGTGACCACAAATTTTTATTCATCGTCTGTGTGGTATACCATGAATCAACAGTCACATAGAGTCACTGGAAGAGTATTCATGTTAAAAATAAGTTGGGCTTTTGTTTCAAGGAGAGAATTATATTCTCTCAAATATAATTCATTTGTTGCATTAGATTGAATTGATGTGACTGGATTAGTTTGGTAGAAGCTCTTTAAAAGAGATAGGGTGTGATCTGGGCCTAAATGAATGAATGGCAGCATTTGCATAAGTGAAGAAGGTTGGAGAGAGCATTTCTGGTAGAGGGAGCAGTATGAGTGAAAAATAGGCAGGTTTTAACATTCTTTAGATAAATAGTGGATAGTTATAAGGCACATCTGTTGGAATAGAAGTTTCACAGTAGATATTAGTAGGATTTAAATTTCCTTCTGCAAGGTGAGACAACAGTTTGGATTTTATCCTATGGGCAGTGAGGGCACATTGAAGATTTTTGAGCAGTGGAGTGGCATAATAAAAACGTTTTTAAGGACTCTTAGTCAGGCAACCGTTTTCAGAA